ATAGAAAATTTTGAAAATAAAATTACGACAGATATCCATAATCTTAATTATATTAAATACAATTTAGATAATATAACAAGAATAAAAGGAAATAAGTGATGAAAAGAGGAATGGAATTTTAAAGGAAAGCATTTAACATTTAAGGAAATGATAAAAACATTGTAAATACTTATCTAGTTTTAAAAAGTACAGATAAAACCTTATTTAAACTTAAAGTTGAAAACAAAGAAATAAATGACTAAATAGAGATTCCCAATCATGATATGAACCGTTATACACAAAGAAACAACATAGAATCAACATATAACTTCCTAAATCAACCTTTAAAACGAAGTCAAAGTTGAAAAAGACATATGCGAAAGACTTTTACTGAGTATGAATGCTATATGGTCTTAAGCGAAATGAATAACAAAAAACGTCCCGGATCAGATGGTATAACAAGTGAAATTTATGAAACCCTTTTGGAAACAAAACAAATCATTTAATCATTCAAATCTAACAAAACATTTAACAGTGCTACAAAAACTAGGAATAATTTCATTTATACCAACAGAAGGAAATTATTTTTGTTTTCCGGTTAGCATCCTTTAAGCCTTGTAAATGTAGATTAAAAAATCGCACCAAAATCATTTCAAATAGCTAGATTTTTTTTGCAAATGCGTAAGTATTTTTAGTCCCCTACCGGTTTACCGGAGGGGATTTTAGCTTTACTCTCCGTCCGTCTGTCTGTCCGACCGTCTGTCTGTCTGTCCGTCTGTCAGTCTGTCTGTCTGTCTGTCAGTCCGTTAGTCCGTCCGTCCACAAAACTGGATCCCGCAATAACTTCAAAAGTACTGAAAATATTTTTATGAAACTTGATATATGGATAGATGGCAGTCTGGAGATTATGCACGTCTTTTTCTTTTCTTCCTATGTTGAAAATTCTGGTTGCTATGGCAACAAATAGGCTTAAAATATGGCAAATTTTACACATAAACTTGATCCAGTGATAACGCAAAAAGTACTGGAAATATTTTTATGAAACTTGAAATATGGGTAGATGGCAGTCTGGAGATTATGCACGTCTTTCTCTTTTCTTCCTATGTTGAAAATTCTGGTTGCTATGGCAACAAATAGACTGAAAATATGGCAAATTTTACACATAAACTGGATCCTTTGTTAACACAAAAAGTAATAGAAATATTTTTATGAAACTTGTAATATGGGTAGATGGCAGTCTGGAGATTATGCATGTCTTATCTGTTCTCCTATTTTGATAACAGGGATGTTTCAAATATTAACTTTAGAGTGTCCTTCAGTCCGTCTGTCTGTCTGTTCATAAAAACTGTTTCCTGTGATCACTTTTAAAGAACTTTTCCAACAAATTTAATTAAATTTGTATAGAAAAAATGAAACATTAGTGAATGGCCAATGGCCCTTCAGAATGTTGATGGGGTTCTAACCGGTAGGGGACTTATGGATTGCTTGCAATACTATGATAATTGCTTGTTCATTTTGCCCCTTAGTTTTATTTTTCAATTTGCCCCTCTAATTTAATTTTAACTTTTGATCCCCGTTCTAAATTCCATTTTGTTTAGTTTCGCCTTTTTCCCCGTTTAGGGCACTGTAACACCGCACTTTGGGGTCAAACACACTTTGGGGTCTGACCCTAAAGTGCGTTACGCACTTTGGTTTCAACTATTGACCCCAAAAGGCATGACACAGGTACATACGCAATTTTTAACATCAGATAAACGGCCACACTTTGGGGTCATAAAAATCAAACCAATAAAGATGAATTTTAGTAATATTTTAAAGTAATATGTTGTTGTATGCCAGTGGTTAACTTAAAATAAGGAATGAAGTACTAGGCGAAATATATTCAGTCGGATCGCTCTCCATATTTTCCAATTAGCAATTAATTATATTTTTATATTCCATAACTGTGTCATATAATGAAGGCCTTAATGTTAAATACATGTATATATAAATATGTTTGATGTGAATACAATAGATAACATTTACAGCTGTATACAGCTTACACCGAAAGTAATTTACCATTGTATACGCTCAGATGCTGCAAATCATCTTCTATATTAGTAGCTCATTTTGTTAGATGACTAAATTTATTATCATCCTAACTTTTTCGCCCGAAAAATTACGATCACGACAATGGCAAAAACCAAGTCTACATTTTTGCGACTGTTAAAAATCTGGCTCCGATCAATACGACTTCGATCACGACCACAACTCCGTCTTCTACATCATTAACTTTTACGACTACCTGCAACCATTTCTTCGACTACGAGTGAATTACGAAAACACGTACGACTCAGACCCTGAAGATAATGACGACTTCAACCAAGAAACAACTTTGACGTATACGACCAGGAATTCAAAGAATAGGTCGGCAACTTAAGCCACGGCTGCCACCATGACTAAGACTATCAAGATTACGACTTTAAAGACTTTGCCAAGATCTTCGTCCGATACTAAGACTTGCTGATTGCTACAGCCAACACTTCGATCACTACTTTCACGACGACTAGTCGTTTACTACTACAAAGATGACCACGGTCACAGGTATTCTAGACATGTACGATAATTAATACCTCTACAACTTACACGATACAACGACTTAAATTTATCGAGTACGGTGACAATTTTTAAAACTACGGCCACGACGATCTTATGACTAAAACAACTACTTCGATAAACAACTATGAAGTTCTACAATGCCAAGTGTTGTTATGACACTTACAGCTGCGGCGACGAAACTTATTACTATGAAATCTACAACTACAAATAAATGAATACGACCATGATTGCACCGACGACTACGAGAACGATTACTGCCAAATCGACATCGAAAATGACTGCTATACATTTGTATCTAATTTTGAAATTACAACTATGACTAGAACTTACACAAATACATGTTAAATGTTGAATTCTGCGCAAACCGCTGCTAGCGGGCGTGGACGTTAGTTTGCACTTGACAGTACCGTCCATGAATAGGCTCAATCAAACCGAGTCTGCAACATTTTCGTTGTGCTTTCTTTAGGGATTCTTATTTTTTTCTATTCTACTCTTTTAAGCATTTTAATAATTATATAATTTGGAAAATGATGCATTTCTAAAAAGCAACTGAATCATCACAATCATAAATTCAAACATACAACACACTCTTCAAGATAAAAACATCATGTGTACTCCAGTAAAGACCCTAGTTAATGAGATCCAAGAATGTGAAACATCATGTAAATGGCAATATATACGATGCAAATGTAGGTTAAACCAAACGCAGAAGTTAATTTTAAAAATAGATTGGAAAATAATGATATTAAAAGGAACTTAATATATAAACTACTATTAATACCAAAATTAGAACTTTAAGTGGCAAATTTAACATTATTTGTGAATAGTCAAAAAGAGCTGAATTTTTTTATGAAATTGCATCTTTAATTCAAGAGTTATCTCCTCTTTAAGAATTTTGCTTTTAAAAATGTTATATTTTGGTAACAGGGATGTTTCTGAAACTCAAGTAAATAAACGTAACTGCAATGCATAGATAGCTGAAAGAATTCGTTAATGACGTTACAGAATATCACGTTTAAATTAAAAATAGCTTTAAACCGTTTCTTGACTGCAATGAAAATTGCACTGTGAGATATTTGTTATAAACTCGAAGGTTTGTACATCTAAAACCACATTAAACAAACAGACATGCCAACGTTACATCACGCGCTTTTCCAAGTATTAAATACGTTATTCTTAAATGTGTTTTATTTATGAAGCAGCAACACAATAATAATAATAATAATAATGATGATAAAAATAATAATTGATAAACAAATAAATAGATAGAAATTTAAAAAAAAGATATATACCACGGACCACCTCTTTAGTATATAATTGATCAAGATACCACTTTTTGTGGTCAGATATTGAATTAACATGCAAATAAATATCGCTCTAAACTTCTGATATAAGTGGATGTGCGTGCTGAAAAGTAAATATAAAGAAAAAGTTACTATTATTTTCTATTATTTTCTTTTCTGGCTAAATAAATGTACTACTTTGTTTAACTGTTACATCTGCTGACTTAGGTAAACTATTTTAGAAACTGTTTTCTTTTATTGTTTGTGGTCTTTTATAATTGTGTTTTCATTATTTGATAGAATCAAGATACGTGTGTAAAAAAATAAAAACGAAAGTCCAATTTTTGTTATAGACAGATATACATCTTATGGTCAAAGTTTTAGTTAATGATTTTTATTACAATTCGTTTTACATATAATTATTTACCTCTTTTACTAAGAAAAACAGATCGCCAAAACTATGTCATTAGCTCTGAATCAATATGAGTTGAACAAAAATATGGAACCAAAGTGATCCCTCTTAAGCATTGATCAAAATAAAATTGCATGAATATTGCAGACTCAGTTTGAATGAGTCTGTACATGAGGGCCAGGAAATATAAAAACACTGAAGTGAAGTTCGGGCAACTTTTTACAGCTGCCACACGGCACTTGACACCTGCTGTCACACATGGTTATCTCAAATTTAGATGTCAACATCTCACAATGTACCATCTAGTTTTTTTCACATTGTGTTCTTTGCAACCAACAAATTTAGGTTTATTGCATTAAAAAAAACAATAAGCACAGCACCAATAGATGAATGTTTGTTACATCATTGTTTTATCTACTTTAAAACTAAATATATCACTTACTCCGAGAGTAAACTTCTTACATCATTATATTATGAAAAAATAGAAAAAAACGGCAGCTACTGTTGTAAGTCTACCAATTCTTATTTACGAACAACCGAATCTCGGCTTTTACCTAACCATATATTTTACCATCATGAACCTAAACATTAAATATTTTTATACTCAGAATGCGTAGGTCATGGAAAATACAGATGTTCATAAGTGCAACTATATAATGTATAATGACTTTGATATGTTACAAGGAATTTTTTTTTAAATCATGAAAAATAAACGTCCCTTTCGGGGTTGTTTTTATTCAGTGAAATGACAATCATAGGAAATAGTTAAGAATGTAACACAAGAAAATCTAGAAATCAATGTACTATACCAAGATTTTTGTTCCAAAGTAATCAAAATTAGTTGACAAACACGTGGTGCCACGTCACTGCTATTTCCACTTACATTTTGAAAGTATGTAGTAAACCAAAACATGGGTACGCAAATGAAATACTTTTCAATTGGTTAAAATTCAGATACAAACTTATATTTATCGTTGATTCACTATAGCCGCAGATAAGCAACTTGCCTAAAATAGATGTACACAAATGTGAAACAAATCGCCAGCCTTTAATGATTGGATCATACTTTATATGATCGTGTGCACAATGTGCTCTTCGGAACTTTCGTAGTTTACATTATCCATGAAATCCACAAAAAATAATCCCTTGCGATAAAAATAATTTCACAATATGAATCATTTTAATGATGCAATAACATGCGCTTTTTTAAGATTTTTTTTTCTTTTTTGAAAATCCATTTGGATTGATATTATAATACCCACAGGAAATAACTGATCCGATCATTCACGGCCGAGCCAAAAGAATATAGTTTTAACATACTAAAGAGGCTTTTCTTTTGATACAAATGGTATATTACCATACAACTGTTTACAATATTTGATTTAACAAACACTAAAGTGGACATTATACTGATTGAATTTTAATATTTGTCTGATATTTTTTGATATCTTACTGTTAAATATTGTTAAATGTTATTGAAAAAACTATTGTTTATTATCATTGTACAGTACAAAGTAGTGTGCGTTCAATGTTTGTCAGCTGGTGTTTTAAAGTCGTAAATTATCCATAATACTGTATTTGTTAAGTGTCAACATTGCAATAATTTTGTAACAACATAACACCTGGTATTGGATATATCTGAATCTGTAAATAATTTATTTGTGATATCCAATGAATCACAATCAATTACCATACTGTGCTAAATCATGAATAAGGTTTGTTCTTTAAATGTTATCTTTTATATTTGAAGCATAATAAATAGAACGAATATTAGGCATGATTATTTTAACAAAATGCATATAAATAAGTGTTCCTGTTATTATTAATTTTTATTTCATAACAACTTTATTAAACTTAAACCCCCAGAGCATAAACGTTTTTATTCGTATGCAGGTGCTCTTCTTTCAATATTCTGTGTGCATATTATTGTTTTGTAACATGCTTTTCAGTTAACAATAAAATTATAGTTTGGTCATTTCAAATTGGACATCAAATTTTCATATTAGGCAAATTATTGTTGAATGCAATAAAATGTTATTCATGAATATAAATTTCATCAAAAATACATTCTGTACTTGAATCATTTAGATTTAGGGAAGCAAATAATTTTAGCACATTGGATGTTGAAACTGAAACAACATTCAATATTTTGTTTCAGAATATTTTTTTAACAATATGTATATTTTCATGTAATGACTTCATGAAGGTTAAAATTAAAGCGCATTTTTGAAACTCAGCAAAAACCAGTCAAAGGAACATATATACGAATACATGTATATGAATAAACACTACTTTACATATTTGTTTGTTTGTTTTACATGCGAAATCAAATAATGTTTCATCAATTAAAATAAAATAATATATTTCAATTCGTGGCTATGCTATTCTTGACGTTATCGCATCTAATATTCTCTTATTTATTAGAAATTTCGATTGTACACTTTTTTTCTCTTTATGTTTTGCAGTTTAGCATGTTTTCTAAAATACCTGATATTTAATTAGTAAATAAGCAAAATAGTTATAATACACAATCAGTGCAGTATTTTGGGGGAAAAACATAAAGAAAAAATGAATGAATTAATGACACAGTTTTCATCATTACTCAACTATATTTATTCTGTTTCTTTAAAAAAATGAATGATTATGGAAACTAATGTTTTTAGTTCCTCATTACCCGATCTTTATTCATTTTGTTTCACTACATTTTACATGGACGAACGGTAAGTAAATGTCGGTTAAATGTTAAATGTTCCCTCTAATGCTAGCTAAAAATACAGATAAACACACATTTCTGTCTGTTAACCTGTTAAAGCATCCTAGCAAGAAATTCAACTTTCGCCTTTTTTAATTTTCATATTTTTAAAAATTGAAATATAATTGTTACGAATAAAAAAACAATGTTAAATTATTGCTTTCCCTTAAGTTTTCAATATTTTCTCGGATACTTTTATGAAAATAATTGAAATATTTGCTATTATAAATATATGTGATTTTAAATTACAAAAAAAATGAGATAGGGGTCGAAATGTCTTACCCACTAGGGGTCGAAATTCATGTAAAAAGGGGTCTAAGTGTCAAGGGGTCTAGAAGTCATCTTAATACCGTAAGGAGTCGAGAAGTCAAGGGGTCTAAATTTCTTACTTGCAGTCAATTTAAGGGGTCTAAGTGTCTTAGGGGTCTAAGTGTCATGGATCGAAATGTCTTAAGGGTCGAGGTGTGAATGGGTCGAGGTGTCAATGGGTCGAGATGTCATAGACTCATATAAAGGTACAAGAATGAATTAATTTAATGTCCTGAGGACATTTATTTTTAAATAACAGCATATTTATACATGTTTATTTGCAGGTAACATTGTTGATTTGTTTGTTCCTCACCTCCATTGGAATACAATTACTTTTTTTCGATTCAAAGTATAAAGAAAACGAAAAACAACGTAAATATGAATGGAAAAATGACCCATTAAGGTAGGATTTAAAATAGATTATACACCTTTTTAGTTACATGAATACAATTTTGAATCTTCATTCACATTTACTCATTACGGACCAATTCATTCGATTTATGTTACCACGAATAGCATCACTTCCTTTAATTCCTACAACGTGGAGATAATGATTGAAAAGCACATTTATTAAAAATTATTTACTGCAACAAAACATGTTGTAGTTTTTTTTACTAAGAAATGACATCATACTTTTTGTCTTTTTTCAATTTTTATCATTGTATTTAATGAAAAACCTGAATGTCAAAGTTTTTTTCCTGAAAAAAAATTAACTGTACCAAAACAAAACTCGATATAGTCGATGACAATATCCAAGGTCATAGTACTTTATTTTATGTTGCGAGTTCAAATACAACTCAACATGTAGTACACACGTGTATTTATTACTTCAGTTCTTTTCTTCTGTTTAACACTTTATCTTATAGAAAAATTCATTATCTCATTACACAAATGACATGTCATTACTTTTTTTCAAACATTCAAAGCAATTTTTTAAGCACCAGTTCGTTGTATAATGTAATGGGTTATTGCTGCTTATGACTTATGAACAGTTTATTTTATATTCCCAACACATACGATAATAAGCATTGCATTGTTAACAAGACATATCTTAATTTCATTTGTTACATTAGATTAATTATTATAATTATAAATAGGAAAGATAATTTTACCTGAATTTATATAACAACGTCTAATGCTAATATGAACAAAATTGTCGATTAAGGTCACAATCCCAAAGGCTAAACAAAGATAAGCATTTACGAAACCGAATGGACATTAAAGCTCGAAAAGACATTGTAGTGGTCAAACAATGTAAAGATGCGAATACTGCCGCAAGCGCATTGTTCTCCACATTAATGCTAGGTAAATATTCTAATATTTGGTTATTGTTTGATATTTTGTTTTGTCAGGAACCGAATTAAGGCAAATAACCTACAAATAAATGAGCTATGCATTTTAGAAACAAAAGACATTCAATTTAATAATTCACTCACATAACACCACTATGTCTTTTCGTTATTATTAAAAACAATTTGAACCTGACCTATGAATGTAAAGAATAAGTTATGAAGTTAAACAAACATCTTAAACTTTATTATTATTTACCTCGGCAATGAAGATTCCTTAGATCGGTTGTTTAAGATTGGAGATAAGATTCGTGTATTGGTAGAACTATTTGATTCATATGGGAAAAGGAAAACAATAGGCGGAGACCATCTTCGTGCTAGAATATGGAACGTTGAGTTTAGTCTATCAGCTCCTGGGACAGTGTTTGACAATACAAACGGATCATATATGATAATATTTGAATGTTTCTGGGGCGGACCATCACAGATAAGTGTATCAATAGCATATACACGAGAAGGAGTTTCAGCACTTTTTAGATTGATGACAAGAGTAGGTATTCATCATTCTTCGTACCTAAATATTCACTTGAAGAAAAACAAAATGGAGCTTTGTCATATATATATTAACTTATATTAACATGTTTTATTGTTTTGTTTTAAATTCTCTAAATATCAGTACCCGGAAAAATTGTTATCCTACGGAAACATTAATCACAACAAATTTGCATCAACATTGCAGTCTCGGTTTGATTGAGTCGCTATATTTTCCAATGATATCGTTAAGTTTTGTTTACATTTTTTTGTGACCATCTATCTTACAAGTCCCTTTGTCTAACTTTATCAGTACAACAGTATTAACATCGCTTCCTATTATAATTTATTTCTATTCATTTTCCAAAATGAAGTTATTGATTAGTTAAAATATTGAAATATCAACATTATCTAGTCCACGAATATCATTGATAATTGAGTATAGTGTTGTGCCTGGAATCGATACCACATAAATTCTCAAATTACAAAACAATCGCCTAACATGGAGATAAGTTCTTCTTATTTCATCGTTATCCCACAAATATTTCGTTCATAAACGGAAGTTTTGTTTTGTAATTTTCAAAGTGTAATAACATTTACTTATAACTTGTAGTAAGACGTTACGAAATAATAATTTGTATACATTTAAAGGTATATGCAAATAAGGTAATATGTCGCACAATTTATGCTCGCGAATAATACTTTAATCATTTATTTGAAGGTGCTTTAAATTAATATGCAGGTACTTGCCATGGTAAACATTGAAGCAAGGTACGAGCATGAAAATGAAACGGAAGATGCGTTATGTCATCCCGACGTTAACCACCTAAATGTACATACACACTATAAAGAAATTTGCAATTTTACTCTTTTAAATTCAGGATTACCATGGTTTTGTGGTAAACCTGAAAATAAAAATATAAATTGCAAGGATTGGAAATATAGTAGACATACATACCAAGATAATACATATTTGCTTAATCAATGTGAACAAGATGTTTTAAAAAGGCAAGTATTTGATTTTTTTCAATTCATACTTAACGCAAAATGAAACGCGTATGCTATAAAATTACCGATTATTTCTAATTAATCCTTGTTTAATTTTGAAACTGTGCATGCGAGGGTCTATGAGCAAAAGCATATAATTTTTTACGAATGAAATAAAACAAGTCATAAGAAAACTCGTTCAAACTCACTCGCTGCTTCGTGTTAAATTAATCATAATGCGTAAGCAGATAAAATGCATTAACCCTCTTTTAAATCAGGCGGAGAAAAACTTCACTTTTCATCGTTATCGCAAATACAGGGTTCAAAAAACCCAAGTTTTGTGTAATTTTCAAATTTGACCTTTTACTTTTGTAAGGTTCAAAATTTTTATCATCTTGGTATATCAAATAGAATAGTTGCTTTTGTATTAATATTGGTGTTTATTATGCTTAGGTAAACAGAAGCAATAAATGAAAATGAACGGGAAATGGGTATGTTATTAAAACCTTACAGACACATAAGTAAAGGGAATTTGCAAAATTTCTTTTAAAATGTGATTAACAATGTGTGGTAAATTAAAAACATTATGAATTTGCAATGATTAAATATTTGTAGTAAACAGAATACATCAACATGTATAAAATGTTTTAAAAAGAGAATAAACAACCCTTAAAAAACTCAAACGGCAATATTAAATTACGGATTCTTTCATGTGCCCTAAACAAGAAAAAAGGAGCGGACCTAAATAAAATGGAATTTTAAAAGGACATCTGAGGAAATGAATCCTGCATATCACAGACAAACTTTCAAAAGACATTTTAAAAAGCAGGCAACATTTAACATATCCTAAGGGTGATTATACACTATTCAAAGAGGAATACTGAAACCAACTAAATTGAAAAAAGGCCAAAAAGAAGAAACTAAAAATACCACATAACATGTTTACACAACAATTATGTCATGCTGAACGATCGTCAAGGATCGAACATATAAAATCATAGATAATATGTATGGGGAGACTTTTTACAGCCGCCACACGGCACAAATAACACTGATGTGATCATAAAATAGAGGAAAACAACCAATAAAGAATGCTCAACAAGGCAATATTGAAAATGTTGCTGGCTCGCTGACTTTCTGTACCTGTATTTTATTACAACTCTTCAGCCCCATCTTCATGTCCCGGTTTCGCGTCCCGGGATCAACCGTGGTAAATATTTGTGTGGCCGTAGCGGTTTCGTGAAGAACCGGGACAAACTTTGGTGAACCGGGACAAACCGGGAAATTGCCATGGTTAAATGTTTAATACAACCGGGGCTCACCGGCACTCACCGTCAAGGAAACCCAGAACCGTGTTCGGCTTGGCACCCGAAATCGCCGGCAAAACACCGTATCTGTACTGCATCAATACAGTGACAAACCGTATCTGTCTTTTTTTTAACCAAATGACTGATGTTAACGTGGTCAAGCAGTTTTATTCTCATACTTGAACCAGGAAGCATCGACTCATTACCGGGCGTCAACGGGACAGTGTCGGCATCAACCGTAGCTTAACAGTCGCGAAATCGGCGATGGTTGGGATAAATCGTGATGAAACCGTAACTAGTCGAATCTCCACCGGGATCAACCGGGAATACACCTGGTAAGAATCGGCACTTACTGTATACATCCAGTGCTATATCGGGCACTGAATCGGAATACACATCGGCTCTGTCGAGTGATGTGTAAACGCAGTTTGATTCTTCAGAAAAACACCACGGAACACCCAGGTTCACCGGTTTAAAACACAGTAGTGACCGTGGCCGGGAAAGTGTAAATGAGGCTTTCCGATAATGTCAATAAAGATATATTTACATTTTAGTTGATGTTATATAAATAATACCACAAAGAATACTTATGATCGCATCAAAGGCATCAACACACTTATTTCATATCCTTATCCCTTTCCTTTTCCATCGCACCAAAGGCATGAGTACATTGATAACATATTTAGTTCAAATTAATTTATACATACTTATTTAAAGTTGTTTGAGATTGCACAAAATGCTTTAACACAATATTAATGTTACTGTTGTACTTTCACAGATCACACCAAACGATTCAACAAACTATTAACGTTACTATTCAAGAAACGACGAAGAATAATCAAGTTGAACGAATTTCTTGCCTCGAATATAATACAACTAATTTGTGGTTTTTGAAACAGACAACCGGATATTTACAAAATTTGACTTGGCATACAACCCATTGCAAAGGTATTTTATTTACACTGACGTGAAAACTAATTTAGAAATTAAATATTTTGTGAAACAGGACAGTATTATGTAGAAAAAATACCATCATATCAATTATGTAATGTATTACCGCTCTGTTGTCATTTAAGGTAATCTGAGCCCGAGATATTAAGCTGAACTATACGACTACAATATAAACTACCATAAATGATATACATTATAAGATAACTGTTCTTAAAATATATTTCAATATCTTAATTTTTAACCTGCTCAGATTCTACAAACAGAAAATATTGTATTTGACTAGTTATCATACGTTTGTTGTATAAATGACCGTAATTCTTTAGTGGTGGTATTTCTCTTTAACAACTTTCACATATTCATTTTATAATATACTCAAAAACAAAAGTGTGCATAGTGATGAGGAAAGCTTTCCAGGCGTTATCCACAGCCAGTTCATTTCATGTTTAATAATCTTAATGCATACAAACTATGAAATTAAAAAGTAGTTTTTTTGTAGGGACTTGTTAATCACATAAACGTGGTATAGTTCAAAACAAAATGAATACAACGTTAATAGACTATAAATGTAGTTTTATTGAAATCTTCGAGGTATTTGGTTTTTGTATTAGATTTAAGTAAGTTTAAGATCGTTGTCTCGTCTAACATATTGCATTGTCGTGTTCGTGTGACACCAGTTAGAGGAAAAATTTCCATTCCAAAGATGAGTAGGTTACTTTCATGGTTTTATCATTGCTTAAATACATTGACGTTTTATAGGTAGCCACAGTGTCAGCATACGAAATTAATTCAAAGTGTTTCGCGGTTGTCTTTCCCTCATACTAGTAACTCTTCCATGCACTTTCTTGTAGTCATGCTGTTTTGGAATGCAGCATGAAGGGCTATCCTTCCCCTGTTGAGAAAGGGTATTGACACTTGACATCACCATTTTAACATTCAATAACACAGCGAAAGTGAAAATCGGGCAAAACATGTCTATAGATGCCTTACGTATACTTTAAGCAAACGATGAGCGGATGTACTCAATGCAAGACAAATGTACTTGCGTCACATGATTTAAATTTGAAAAAAATAATGACCAACAAAATTACAGTTATGGAGAATGACACATATTATATTTTTATCCAAACAATATAACTTCATAAGGGTGGTTATTAATTTAACAAGTAGCTGAACAAATATTAAAATGAATATTCAGGGTATATTAGATGTCAAAATCGGTGGCTGTAACATATGAACAACATCGTTAACAACAAATATTATATTTGAACTGATCTTTGTGTGTCAAAATAGAGGAATACGAAATCCCAAAATAACGCCCAAGACAAAAAAAAATGAAAAAAAAATTGCAGGCTCGGTTTGGTTTAGCCAGTTCATGAACAGTATTGGAAATTGCAAATTACCATTCACGGCCCCTAGCACCAGGTTAAAGTACTTCCGCAGATGTGTTAATACGGCTTTTTAATGAAAGCTTTAAGATAACACGTTTTTTTATCATTTCATGAAAAACATCAACGAGAAAACAATGTACGAGACTTGTACTTCACTTCAATGTTTGTTTTATTCTTCTGGTCCTTCGGGATCATTGATTTCAGCAATTTTAAGTTGATTACCGCTCAAGCCGGTGCGTTGGGCATGTTGCACCTTTTCTTTATCCATAATGTACAGACTCAATCAAACCGAGTCTGCAATTTTCATGTAATTTTGTTATGTTTAAGCTTCTGTGGGATCACATTTTTTTCCTGATTTTTATACTTCACAACAGCACAACATGTCTAGTGCTGTGCGTCAGCTGTTAACAGGTTGCCGTACTTCACTTAAGTGTTGTTATATTTTTCTAGTCCTTCGGGATTATAAAAGCCAGCGCTATTAAGTGTTGAGAATTGAGTACCACTCATTTAAATAAGTTCATTTACCTGGAAAGTTCGCAGGAATAAATGTACTCGTCAATACATTGCACAAACATGCAGAGCAATTCGGTTAATCGGTTATCGTAAATACACAATTTAAGCATTAGAAATTGTTAATTCACATCGCTATCCCTCCATCGAAAACGCTCTTCAGGAAACCGGGGCATAAAAGTTAAGATTAATCACCATCGCTTATAATAATAATAATAATAATAATAATAATAATAGTGATAAAAAATAACTAATTAAGAATAACCACGAAAACAACAACAAAAACAAAAACAAAAAGAAAACACCGTGTCCTGCATTTGACGAACAAGAAGCAGAGATATCTCTTTTTATGCACCCTAATGTATTTGACCACTTCTGAAAAGCTTTAACACTGCGCAATTCGACATGGTGTTTCTGTACAAAAATTATTAAAATAATGGGGAATGAACTGATTTTCTTCATCCATCGATGAGTTTGTTTAACACTCTTTCCTTTAAGTGTATTCTTTTAATTGAAAAACAGTGTCGGAAATAAGGCCATTGATATGTATTTATCATTACATAGGAAAACGATATGAATAAACCCTGGTATAAACAAGTTTTTTTTTATAATTTATTATTTCTCTGTGATCATACAGTAATAAAGTGTACATAACATATAATAAACTTCTGTCCAGAAGATACAAAAGCATGGTCACAAAGAGTTGGTTTTCTTTACACACAAACACACGCACGCACACGCTCGAACAAACATCCGCACCCATACACCCACATTTCCAATTCATAAATACCAACAGGATTTATAACAATACATATTTTGAACATAACGCACACACAAAACAGCACACATACATTTCGGGTACCATCAGCAATACGATACTAGTATTAGTGTAAACTAATATTTAAACAAAAACAAAAAGGGAAAGTAAAGAGGGTGAAAATTAAATGCAAAAGAACAAGAAAAAAAACAGAAGGTACATTTACAGTTTTTGACTGCTTTTAAACATAATTGTTTTATATTTCATGTAAGTAAGATATTTTCATATGGTATATATTCGTATCTGGGAAAATTCTATTCCATTTTTGAAAATGAATTTCCAGTTTATCGCGATTAAATGCAATACATTTTTCAATACATAGTCTGCTCCAAAAATAATGTAAAAATAAGTTAAATTGTGGTGTGCGTTTTCCGATTTTGCAACTATATATGTAATATTTTGCCACCAAAAGAATAAAAAAAATTGCATCTTTTTGTGTATCTGTGATTGTAAATAAGAGAGATATTGTTTTCAAGTTAATTTCTATATTAATTTTTTTTTGAAATATTCTATTAAATCCCTCCAAAAAAGTTGCGTGTAAGAACATTGCCAAAAACGATGTTCAATAGATTCAATATCCATTGCACAAAAATCACAAAGAATCGAGGAAGAAAGGTTTTGTTTTAGAAGACTTTTGTTTGTAGCAATAGTTCTGTGTAGATATTTATATTAAAATTTCTAAAGTATGTGTCAATCGTTGTTGATATAATGTTTTTGTATATTTTTTCCCAACATAGATTGTCGTTTTCAAAGATATTTTCCCACTTATTTTCTGCATTTTCCCACTTATTTTCTACATAAACAAGCTTACATAATTATTCAATTGTTCCTCGTAACCATTTGTTTAAATACATATTATATACGCCTTATTTACCTTACGTTATGACAAGTATTTTTTCAGGCTTTTTCCAAGAAGACCTTGGTGATTGTATGAGAAATAAAACACTTTATCTATTTGGAGATTCAACAGTCCGGCAATGGTATTCAGCAATAAAAAGTCGGATCAATTGCAAACACTTAACGAAGACAAACCCGAAATTAACAGCAGCAGAGTGCATCGTGAAAAACAAGAACTTTACGATGTTTTTAGCACCACACTGTTATCCGTTTTACATAAGCAAAGATCAATGGAAATATGCTTTAGATTATCTAACGTCAATAGCTAGACGAATTAACCAAATACCACCATTTGAAGATGCAATAGTTTTAGTTCATATATTTGCACACATGAAAACATTCCACTATAAGAACTTCAAAGAAAAGATCAGTAATATACGTCATGCCATTGAAACGCTTTTAGAAAGGAATAAGCAGGTTAAAGTATTTATTAAAATGCCACATACATTTACTAATAATATTGCAGGAATAAATGACTTTTTCGAATCAAAATTTTCAGAAATAATATTCGAGGTTTTTGAAGGGCTATTTAATAAGGTAATACCCTTAGATCAAAAAGACGCAACGAATGCCGCGATGTCCAAATTTTTGCATCCTCCAAACTTTATAGCCGATGCTATGGTGAATCAGATGTTTAGTTACATATGTGAATAAATGAACAAAACAAAACACAATCATCAAATTAAAAAAAGGAACAGGAGACATTTGGTTTTAACTACACTCTCGTATAAGCTATTTATTGCACTTTTTTAATTCAGAGACTTAGTTCAATTAAAAATTACATTACCAATTACAAATTAGTGACAAAAATAACCAGCTGCGAATTCTTTTTATTTGATACTGCAATTTCAAAAAACATACTGTCAAATGAAGATAAAATGTGGAACTTAAAACTGTTTATGCATGGTAAAACAATTATGAGGCAAAATGCGCTAAAGTAGAAAAAGAAGATAATTTTAGAAACGAGCAGATCAGAGAGGTTTAGACTGACATTTATTGAATCTCTTCATGTAATTTACCTATTGAAGCTAGTAGAGAAAACTAGCTAAGCATGGATTTGAGCGTTTCCAGAACACGTGTTTATGATTTTGAATTTGTGTTTGGATGGAGAAACATGAACATAGATGAATGCTAGTTTATCTCTGTATATGTATTATAAGGATAATGTTTGAAATCGTCTCGATTCGGTGTTTTTTATGCATATAAATCAAAAAATATATTTCTCTAACGTTTAAATGGGCCAGTATAATTGTCACTCATGGATATTACAAACTTCCTTTTCAATGAAAAGATGACGGCCACCACTTTTAAAACATGAAAAGGAGGATTAAAAAATATTTCAAATATTCTAAAGGTTTTGTGTCATATAGTGCCATAGTTTTGTTGGAGAATATATATTAGAGAGAGAAAGACATTACATCCAAAATTAATATGAATTCAATAAATAATATAATTATGGGTTACATAAAGCTGATGAAATATTACATACATATTGTTATCAAAGAAATACATGTTTATCAAATAATCATACACGTTTCATCATTTATTCAAAATAGAAACAATAAGTCGATAAGCATGCAGTGCACAATATAAATTATATATATTATACACTTATGTTTTAAATATTCAGATATATCGCTGCAATAAAATGCAAACACTTGTATTTTCATTTTCCGTATTTTCTGTTAAAATTTACCTATCACATTAGTGGAACTAATTGTCGGTATTTTCACTGGCGTGTTGAATGACTTCTGTCTTCTAAATTTATAACAAGTAATATTAAAAGTAAATAATAAGAAAAGAAAGATACTCAACTGTTTTAGCTATTTTATCATATTAAAACGAGAAAAGTATATAATAAACAAGACTTATCATTGTTTCTATAATTTCGGGATTTTTCTTTCACCTCGGGAAATGAAATAATCAAATCTTACAAGTGACTACAGTCACGTGAAAAATATTTATTTTCATAAAACTTGCTGAGTATACATCTTGTATTTGGTAGCTGATTTTGAACACTTTTGTGCAGCGTGTTGTCGACCTTGTCGACAGAGACTTGGGCGCATTGTCGTACTGTCGTCTTGTCGCTAACGATGCATGCCAAAGGGCGCGTTGTCTTCCGGCATGTTGTCGCGATGTCACATTTTCGCTCGGCTCATATCGAAGGATTGGCTATTTTTATAAATATAAACAAAGCGTAAAGGCGACATGGCGACAACACGCCGATTGGTGTGCTTCGCTAGCAACAAAATGACAAGATGACAGTTCAACGACGCACCATTCGGTCCGTTTTCCTAGCCACAAGACGACAAGACAAAAAAAAAGGCGATAACGATATGGGTTAGATTGTCGCTAAAAACAACGCAACGCGCAAAGTGTACCAAATCAGACAGCAAAAAATAAAACAAGAACATGATAATATTAAGTTTGTCAAGCATTCAAAAATTAATCGTTTACTATATCACTGAATGATGTGATATGTCGTTGATTTTTTCTTCTTCGATTTTTTTCAGATTCACTTATATATGAAAACAAAATAAATTAAACAACATACACTAGTTATTTTATACAACTAAGTATTTTATGGAGTCTATTCGTTGCCAAAAGTCCATGAAACTTGACAATGTATTCTTCGGTCCTACTTAACTAATTAGTAAAACTCTAATGGTCTATCCGAGCGTTACATACTGCATTGGTATTAAACGTTTTGATTATCTCAATTTGATAAAATGGAAGCTGGTAACATGCAACATGCAAACTGTATTTAAAAAATGTATGACTTCAAATTTGCGAAATGTAAACGATAGAACGTACACAACACGTTTAATGCTGTGCATCATGATGTTGAGTGTGTAACTGCATCAGTTAACACACACAGATTGACAACACCACACTTTCTGTATTACATTGTAACGCGATGATTATTTGTAAAACGATTTTGCAACTACTGTATTTGGAAAAATCACGGAAAAAGACATATAAGTCAACTGCATTACATTTAACGTTCAATATCCTCTGATTTTTTTAAAACGTATTAGGATAATCATGTAATACAAAAGTGGTAACAATATAATGTACAATGTAACGACGATGGTAGAACGTCATAATACTGATGATAATGAGCATAATAACATGCAAAGCCTACAGTTGGTCAATAATAATAAGGGAACGTATCCCATATATAAGGATACATACCACTCTTCGTGGTGAGCTAGTGTTTTACTGACAGAGTTTGTGTACTTTAAAACTAAGAATTTTTGAATTCGTTAACAGACATTGTAGTTGTCATATGTTTCACATTCAACGGTCAGTTATAATGCAATACATGGGTATTACTCTTTTGCAATATGAATAAAGAGAACTGTACAGTAAGCCTATGCCTTCTTTCCTTAAAAGACTATATTTTGTTGTAGAAACCCCAAATATTTGCACAAGTGTATAACCACGGAACTATACAACGGTTACTATTGATGATTCCGTTTTATAACCAAAAACGTATTAACTGTTAACTTAAAGACATATTTTGAAGATGTGATAAAGCCTTTTATTATTAAATATATGTCAGAAGAAGTGTGTTAAGGTCTTCAGTAAAACGTTGTTTTTCTTGCATTTTACTTAATCAAAGACAGCTCTAGGATCTGTATATACATGCTCTGAATCAATAGCTATTACCTAGACTTTCTGTCCTTCTGATCAAAAGCAGAGAATTATCTTTATGTTCATGAAATAATACTACACAGGATGTTTATTAAGTTTTGTAAGAAATGGCTTTGTAAGAGAAAAATAAGGAAGGTAAACATAAATTGTAAATCAACATACTTACCTTTAGACTCATTTGAATATTACTATTGAAAAAGAAATTGTAAAAATGGTGAAATATATCTATAAAGTGTGGTAAAAATAAAAACTTGTGTACGAAAGGGGACACGCAATTTTGGTAATTTTGCTCTCGTTCAAAGTTTTTTTTCTTATCAAGTCATACGCTAGTATTAAGGTTACTTATGTAATAGTAAATGCTACTACATGGAAAGACAACAGGCAAACATTTGGTCTTTATTAGAATTTTGTCGTAGCAAAATCTCTATCAGATGTTGACTTGAAAATTTGAAAGTGGTAAGGTAAAAGCTTAACTGTCAATGTTACTCATTAACATTTCCATGCGAACTGGAATTCCCTCAGTAAAATTTATTTGTCTTTATAAAAAAGCACGTTGAATATAGTCTTAACATCGATTTTAAGATTCTTGAAAAATATTGTCCCTCAAACAACCCCATTTAAAGTTAGATTGTGTTTCTTTTAATTTCTTTTTTTCTAAGAATTTGGTTATTTACAGTGTTTCAAAACTTATTGGCCTATAATCATTAAAATTCCGCTGAAGTTGATTGAATAAATGCATATAATGGCGATCATGCAAGGGAATTATGTCAATATTTTCAAACACCTACACGGCTCCAAAATTGTTTGACTTTGTAAAGTGTGGTTCATGGAAAATATGCTTTTGTGTGTTCTTGTTCCCTTGCTTTCTTGTAATCGTAGACCGAAGAAGGAAGCAGACGGTAAGTACCGAAAATGAGCAAATAAATTCGTTTATTTACGATAATGTAGTGGTCGCAAAAATTGGCGGATCTTATTTGATCTCCTATTGCAAAACGTGTACATCTGAATTATGCTGATTTAACCGTGATGGGTGGACAATGTAAAGCTAAGAAAGTTGTGTTGGCGTATACACGAACAATGAGTATTCCGCATGTTATGTTGAACACTCGGTATTGCGTCTCTAAAGAAAACCAGTTAATGTTTTGTCGTTTAACAAGATTTATTTTGTTGAAATGCATGTTTACAATGTTATTTCGGAAAATCCAAGAATGCCACATTGGAGTAAACATATAAAGAAATACAATTGTATTTTGTCCTTAAACAAACTGTTCAACACAGATCAACAAAGCTGGATTTTGGCAACGAATAGTTTCTATTGATCATATGCACCAAAACGTTATAAAGAATAAAATCCTTTTATTTGTAGATCGAATTACAAACACTCATCTATCAATCTTTTACCAACAAAACAAAGTCAAAGTTAAATTTTGACCCATGATTTCAATAAACTATAGACGTACGAAAGTCAATGAAAGCGGTCAATAGCAAAAAAAGCATGTAGTGCCGTTTGTTTTGGAAAGAACCAACACCACTTCAGACATGATTGAGGTCACCACCGCTTGTGACATGGTGAATTCTTTCACCCTTTTTCTTTTACCAATATAACACCATCTGCAGTCGAGTAACTTACAATTTTATGCTTCCTGACCAATATTTTGTCTCTGTAGAACGAGCAACTATGCTGTTTTGTTAGGTTTTCGTTTATTAATGTTTTCTTTAAACCTTTCTTGTTAAGTAAAGATCTGGCTGTGTACATTTTTAATTGGCTCTGTATTAAACAAATTTTATTATTTTGATTTTAGACCACCAGGTCTTCTTACATTTTGACTACGGCCAATTTCAGATAGGTTCATGTTAACATCCGTTTTCTTAAACGTATTAAGGATAATCATATTGGTGTTTAATCGTTGGTTTCAGGTACACCCGTTACACAAAAATTTATATGACGACTGTACTGCAGGGTGGAAACGGCAGCTTGCCTTAGTTGACTGACACTATGTTTCAGCTCAAGATTATCGTGCTTTTATCTAAGATTTTCTGTTTCTAGTGATTTGACTTTTTCCTGACGTCCAGAGAGAACACCATCAACACTTGCACTAACAGACTGGCTTACTGCATCTATGACAAGATGCGTAATGTCATGTTTGAAGGCGGACTTAAACACGTCTGCAATTTTAACAAGATCGCCCTCACTAAATGAGAAGTTTTCTGTATTTGTGACTCATTCCATAATCTGCAGATAACAGGATTTTTTATAGCCTAAACTTTCATATGGTAAAGACATATTACGTTGTTTAGTGATATTTGTAAATCTGGTTTGGAATCTCCAGATATGGGTGAATACCTTGCACTTAACTGTGTACTGCTTGTCTTGTTATTTTTTCTTTGTTAGTTATTTTTAGTGCATTAGTACTATATATTACGAAAGCCTAATAGTGTCAAATAAAATAAAAAATAACAATGCAAATGCATTATAACGCGAATCAAAAGGCGTCATAACGCGAAAAAAGGCGTTTTAACGTGAATCAAATGGCGTAAAACGCAAATAAAGGTGTTATAACGTGAATCATTAGGCGTAATCACGCCTTTATTCGCATTGTTACGCGAAACAAAAGGCGTAATAACGCAAATCAAAAGGCTTAGTAACGCGAATAAAGGCGTAGGTACGCGAACCAAAGCCGTAATAACGCAAGTTAAAACGCATTATAATGTCATTATATAACCATATTTATACTAATCAAATTGCCTAGTAACGTGAAAAACGAAGACCAAGATAGATCTATATTTATTGCTCAAAATATAAACTCGTATATAATAATATAATATGCATTTACAATAACTATCATTCCATTTGCACAGTAATAATGCAAACTAATGAAGACTCTTTGATATTTAAGTTCGTGTTACTACGCCTTCATTCGCGTAAATACGCCTTTCATTTGCGTTATTATGCCTTTTGTTTCGCGTTATTACGCAAATAAAAGCGTTATTACGCCTTTTGATTTGCGTTATTATGCCTTTCAATTTGTGTTATAATGCCTTTATTCGCGTTGTTACGCCTTTTGATTCGCGTAATTATGCCTTTCAATTCTCGTTACAACACCTATATTCGCGATACTTCGTTTTAATTTGCGTGGCTAGGCCTTTTGATTCGCGTAATAACGCCCTTATTTGCGTTATAACGCCTTTGCATTTTTATTTCTTTTATTTTTTGACACTTTTAGGTTTTCGATATATATTGAAGATAAACTATAGTAATAGTAATCAACGAAGTCACTGACGCGTAAAATTAACGTGAAAATGTTTGAACATAAAGGAGCATCTAAAGCATTTAACCCATAACTTCATGAGCATTTTGTGAAAAATGGCTGTTTTCATTGAAAAGTATCCCGTTACAAGTTCAAATTGCTATAAAACTATAAAAATTGCTTCAATACTAATCAAACTTGACACAAATGTTGACTGGACCATTGCCTTTGTAACAACATGCTCAGGCTTAAATTTCCTGTTTTAATGGCAACGAGGGGAAATCTCAAAATTGTTAAAAATCACTATTTTGCGTTGATTTTTACCATTGAAATCGATTTCAAAGTGCTGCAACTTCTCAATGGATTTAGATAGAGTCAATTGCTTTTCAGCGTTGGTTAAACGTTACCTGATGGTTGATCTTGGGTCATTTTTAGCCTCTCTCAAGTCCAAAATTTCCTTGGCGATGAAGGGGACTCCCGCCACCCTTCAACTCCCCCCCCCAAACGGAAGTGGGCACATCCCCCTTCTGACAACCTCCTGATGTATCTTTTGATTGGGGGGGGGCGCCGAAAAAGTTGTCACTTTTTTCTCAACATTTTTTAAACGAAAACGAGTGTTTGGGGCCCGAACAGGACATATTTATTGTATTTGAGGCCTAAAAGAGGTGGGGGTGGTTAAAAATGCGTTGATTCGCGTATGTATGAGGTTAAGAGTTACTGTCAAAATAAATATACTTGACAGTTGATCAAAATAACCCTTTTCTGAATACCTGCACAATTTCAACCTCCAAATTTATCACTTAATCACATTACTTAATTACTTAATGTTTTTCTTTGCTTACTTAAAAATCTAAACTTGACGACATGATCACGTGACTACACTTTTATCAGTTTTAGTAAGATTTTAAGTAAAATAAGTTATAATTCGTATTTTATGCCGTTTTAAATAATTTTATCCAAAGAACTATATGATGTCATTGACGAATACCACAATTGATAATTATTTAATCAAACCATGGGTAAAGTGAATCGATTTGCATCGATACACAACAGGTGCGTTAAATATCGAACAATAAATCGCGTTTAAAAAATATGAATTCTTCATCTTCAAAGTTGAAAAACTTTCAATAACCGTAAATTCTCTATGCTTTTTGCTAAAAATCGTTCACAATTTTTGATTGGTTTAAATCGCCTCATGAAATCGTGAGGAATCCAATGAAAAAGCTGTCATGGACAGACCTTAAATCGCCTGTATATCGGCCGAAAATCCCATAGCTGAAAATCATTTATTACCTCCGCCTACCCATTTCGTCGTGGATCATATCATCTTCTGTTAACCCCCTTTTTATCCTGGATTATGTGATGTCTCAAGAGAGAACCCAAGTCTCTTTGTGTGTGTGTGTGTGTGTGTGTGTGTGCGTGTGTGTGTGCGTGTGTGTGCGTGTGTGTTGGTGTGTGTGTGTGTGTGTGTATGTGTGTTAGTGAGCGTTTGCGTGTGCTTGTGCGTATGTAATTTAGATCTAGGAGTATACATATTGTTATATTAATTTTGAATCTTATACCTGTATATATGGAAACTTCTATCGAAGTATGTTATAAATATAGAGTCCATTAAGTGTTGGTTTTACATAACTTATATATTCTTCTAACATATTCATTCATCATTGGAGGTTATCTATCTTGTTTTAAGTCGATCACATTTAGAATATTCTGATGTAGTTTAGATGTAGTATGGGGTAATTGCATAAACAACGAAAAAGATGAACTCGAAAATATACAACATAAAGCTGCAAGAAATGAAAGTGGATGCACAAAATCTGTTTCGGAGCCCTATCTCGAATAATGTTGGAAAATTTGGCTGAGCGACGACGTAGATATAAATTATTTATGTTCTATTAGATGTAAAATGGTATCTCTCCTGAATATCTGTTTAATCTTGTTTGTAATTAACAAGGTGAAACAAGTCAATATAACCTCGTACAAGAACCTCCACTTTCCTTCTCTTATTTGTTCCTTAAACATTAAAAGAATGGAATGAATTACCAATGAATATTAACAATAAAGACTCATTAACCTGCTTTGAGTCTTTCCTATATCAGGGAAGTTACAATAACAATTCTCTATTATATTACGGTGACAGAAATATCAAGTACTTCACACGCGACTCCAAAGAAATTCTAGCTCTCTCAATCAACATTATTTTTTAAGAATATTGCCAAATTGCCACTTTGTCAGTGTAGTAAAATTGAGTCAACCTACTACTATTTTTATGAATGTAACATGTTTTAAAACATAAGACACATTTTGCTATATGCCATTTCAAATATAATAGCTTTTTCCCAGAAGTCATCTTGTTAGGAACGAATCCAAATCGATAGAAGCAAATGAAATAATATTTTCTGCAGTTCACTAATATATCACACTACGTAAGAGGTTTGAAACAGATTAATTGAAACAAACTTTTTCAGTACCGCCATCGTTTTACACATTAAATGTGTTTTCTCCAAAACCTGCCAAATTAAGTAAGTCCTTAATGTACTAGGGTAACGTTATAATCACTGCATGTCTCACCATTATAATATACGCTTGAATATGAAAGTAACCTAAGGGTTATTTCCACATGTTATATAAATTCATACAAATTTTTTCAGTAGATGATGACATTATTTTGTTGTAAATTTTAAAACAGAATCGGAGAAGAAGTTTCAAATTGTTCGTTTTAATCAATTTCAACACCGTTTATATTGAATGCATGTGTAGTATGAACTGTGTATGATTATGAACAAAATATGTTTAAACTAAATCGAGTCTGCATTTTTTATGCAATCTTGTTCTGATAAATGCTTCTGAGAGATCAACTTATCCAGATTTTTAAATATGGAGCTAAAATGCAATCCATTATATCTTCATGTTAAGCCTATTCAGCTGAAATTGAGATACATAGGTTCGCATTTTTGAGTTTAGATTTCTTTACAGCAAGATCCAGAAAGTATCAAATAGTATTCCTAAAACTGAGGTGTGTTCTTAAAGCATCACATTCATTGTATCTATTCATCTTTATTAATTACCTTGTATTTTAATTGACAACTCATCTATTGAGTATTAATTCAACAATTCAATGTGCAGTTTTCGAATAAAATTAGCTAATCACTTTCTCAAAAAGGTAGAATAAAATAATAGTGTATATGTATTTTATTGTTCAAATGATATTTTTAATAACGTTTTGAAAAGTATCTGCTCTAGTTGGCATTAATTTACATCTATCTCTGTATAAATTATCAATAAAATATGGACAGTCTAAAGATAAAGCGAGTTTTGAACCATCCAAATGTTGTGACTGCAAAAGCTCAAACGCAAGTCTGCAAATCTAAAAAAGATAAATATAATTAAAACCACTCTATACATGTATATGCTTCAACAAATGATAATGCACGAAGCTTGATAAAACATATTATAAAAGAAAATCCGAGGAATGTGATATAATTTATTTTTTATTGATCGATTATTATTATTTATATCTCACGCCTTCGGCTGAACTGTTTTTCGTACCTTTACACTGCACCCCTAGAAGCCTTCATCAATAATTTCTTAAGTAAGATTAAATTAGAGTAAAGAGCAATACTTAGACGGGTTTGACTGACAATGGAAGCAGAAACAACCGCATCCAACTTTAATGATGCATGCTCCTTTTCAAGTTCAGTTAAGGTATGTCTATACGTGACGTGCATTTATGAAACAAAAACATTACATCTGAAGACATCGTGCAGATCAGATAGTCACACATCGATAACATATAGGTGTCAAGCATAATATCACCAGCCAGTGATGAACGTAGAGCATAGCTATGATTTACATTGGTATTGAACAATATACTGTAGTTGGAAAATCTAAAATAAAACGACGAAGAAAATTAAGACAAATTAGTGAACCGTTAAAATGTATTTTATGAATATGCAGAAAAACATTTTACTTTCAACTAATAATAGAATACGATTTGTATTTTTGAGCTATATTTTTTTGACAACTAATTTAAATACATTTTGTACTTTGCAGTATGTGATGTTTGGATGTGCTTGATATGAAAACAACGACACTTACATGTACGCAGCCATGTTATCTTGAATTTGTTACGTGGATCAAGATATCAAACGGAATATATTGTTGCAAAATAGTAGATAGATAAAACATTTAGATAAGGAATATTGTTTGTTTGGGTTTTTGGTGCACAATAAACAGTGCATGTCAAATGACGCTGAAAAATGAAGATGTTTTGCCTAACGTCGTGTGTTACAAAATTCAAAGCTACACAAGGAGTCATAACCTACTCACCTGCTAGAGCAAAGACATGCAAAGCTCTAGTTATCCAACCCATTAGTTGCCTTTTACGATCACTCATTGATAAAATGCAATTCTAATGCACCAACTATTAAAAGCAACCCTTCCGCCACAAGATCATTATTATTGGTAAAGGATGAAACTATAAACATATTCGGATACATAAAACAAAATGGCGGAAATCAGCCAACTTCAAAGGCCAATGAATCTCGTAAAATAGATTTTTAGTATGGACGGGGAAATGTTCTATTTTAAAACTTCCTATCACTCTGTACTTAAAGTCTCTTGTCAGACTAATGCTATAAATTAATAAAATGGATCGTGAAGGTTATTATCGCACTGAGTACTCTTTCGAAGGACTCCGGATAACTTTAATTGTTTTTGAACTCGACAGTTCACGCTACTGTTAAAAGTACTCGTTGGTATTCAACAATACCAAACGTTCCCAGAGAGTTGAGCTGGAAACATGAATTATTTCTAATCTGTGTGCTATCAGGATGAAAAAGAAATGAGAGAAGGTGATCCCTCGTTAGTATTGAAAACAAGAAAAATAACATGGAACGCAGACTCCGTTTAATTATGTCTGTACATAAGGAATATATATAGGTGCATCCTAAACGCCACTTATTACCGTAATGGGCGGTCATCAATTTCCAACACTTAATCATTGACTCAAAAACCGATTCTATGAAGTCCATTGAAAGACGAAAGGACTCTTTAGAAAAAGATAATTTTCATAGTTTTTTCATTACATAATGAATGCTCTATATATTGAATATATCCAATGTAAACGTTTATAAAAAGTCTTGATTCTTATCCAAAAAGAAAAAGGTCACAGATATTAATTACACATGATATAAAGCCAGATCCATGTCCGAAAATATCAAATTATAAGGCGATTCGTTATACCAACCAAAACATTTTGCTGGTATGGTTATTTGTTAAATTAGAGTCAAACACACTTATCTTGAAGTTTGTCTCCTGTTTGCCGTCAGAAAAATAATGTTTTCATTACTAGGTTGGCTATTTGAAACAAATTTTACTTTTTTATTGATAAGAATAGACAATTTGGACCTTACTTTTTGACAAATGTTGTTTTAAGGTTGTGTGAAAATGTTTACGGAAATTTTATTCTAAAAGACATTCAAACCAAAAATTCAAAATTGTATCCTGTAATTAACGATTACAACTACTTTAAAAATGGTGATCATTATATAGCTGAATGTTTTATTAACTATATCAATACCATCGATTATAAATTTAGGTAAATTTGTTATAATGTAAAAGAAATTGTGTGACATAATTATTTTAAAAATGTAACATATAAAAAATAAAAAATTACATTTTGGTAGCCTCGGTCAACACTAAATGCTCATCAGAAGCTATGAAAATCCTTCTTTTTGAGTTTCTAAATCCTGTTTTACGTTCGTATAACCTGTACCATTCTTCTGCAAATTTCTTATAATTGGTAAGATTGTACTGTCTTGTTTGAGCTTCTTTGCTTTTTGTCTCTATGTAGATCCTGCAGTAATTGAAGTAAAAATTAGAAGACAGATCAAATTAAATCATTTACATTAATTGCATGAATGCAAAGATGATATAGACACGTTATGATATTGCTCTTCTGAAATTTGTGAAAATGAATGTAGTGTCTTTTTCATTGAAATAATTTGAACACAGGCAACTCTCAACATTGATAATTTGATCGCATGAATGACCTTTATTTTTTTTTTAGAAAGCTGACTCAGGGTTTCGAATAGAAAATAATATGAATGACTGTTTTTTTGTTTCCACAGTTCTTGATATTTATTCACATTATGAAGATTTTAGCCTTTGTTTTCATCTTAAAAAGAAACCGGCCATAAACAATGTATTAGTGTTAAGGTTAGCTGTTGAAATGTGCCCTGTATTTCACTTTAATGATATCTTTCTGCACTTTTATGGTCATTTTTCTGGCCCTTCGGGTCAATTGATTTTTAACACATTTGTTTTGAAGTTTGGTTAGTGCTAGAGGGTATAAAAGATGTTGTATATTTACATTATCTCTCAGGAGCAGATTCAATCAATTTAAAATAATATTGTTGTTTTACTGTTACCGACCTCTTTTCTTCATTTTGTTTGAGGAATTATGTGATGTTGCGATCAATAAAAGCTACTATAAATATCAAATATTAATTTATAATTTTGTGTTATATGTGAGATGTGAGGGGCATGTTTATAATTTCATATTGAAAAATATATACACAGATTATACAAAACATCTTTTTATAGTGTTTATATGACAACAGACTGTTTAAGTACTCTACGGTTGAACATCAACATACCCGACATAATAATTAATCGATTAAAAATTAATGTGTAGAAAAGATGATAAAAAAATGCAACAATTTCTTTAGAATAACATTTTGACTTGTGATTTTAGCATTGCTACCATGTTCAGTCATTAAGGTATTATTAGGGCCTCAAAAGGAAACGTACCCTTTCTTAATTATCAACATATATTTGAAGGTTTGTACGGCTCCAAAATAAATATTTTAACATGAAAGATGTATTCAATTTCAACATTTTTAGAATAAAAATTGTTTCAATAAAATCTTATAATAGCTCTGATCATCAAGGCATCTGTTTTCAGACGTATATCATAATACATTCGTTTCATGGTTCTGTCTTCCCAGTGAGGTCAAATTGATTCACTTTTTCTTTCTTTAAACGCATATTGTGAATTTGCCTCGTATAAGTATTAGCATAAGTATTTATCGGTAAAACTTAACAAGCATGTATGTATATGTTTTGGGTAAACTTGTGTGTTCAGTATTTTACCCATTTTCAAAGGGTCATTAAACAGAAAATCAACTACAAGCTGCTCAGCGAGTATAATTGTTGATATAGCGTATTATATCCAAAACATGTATGTATTTGAAATAGCATTACCGTGTTTTAAATAAAATGAACAATACACCTAGGGGTACATTATATTTGTTGCTAGTGTTGTCCGATATTTAACGGACCGTCATGTCGTCCAGTGCCATTTTCAGCCCGTCATAGACAGAAAAAAACACTGTGGCGCAACTCACAGAACGCAACGTACGTTGTAAATTTTTAATACAATAGAGTACCTTACACAAGCGTTGGTTGTGCCAAAATTATATCAGTTACCTGGGGAAAACCCAAAATAAATTCATATGTAAGCTTTCCAAAGATGTAACGCTGATATCCGTTGAGTACGGGATTTACATAAGCACTTAAGTTTAGAAGATGTAATGTTCGACACAAATTTAGGCATTGGTTCCATGGCTACCTACATTAAATGTGTGACTCTCAGGGCGATGTATATTTGGATAATTGCCCTAGGTAAAGAGCAATATATATGTTTTTGCAACACCACAACCGTATCGGATCTCACTCTAATATCACCAGAAAGCGTAAAAATAATTTTGAAATTATTCGACCATGTTCGAATTAACATGGAAATAAAATTGGACTCAAATTATACCCATGTAGTTAAGCAATGGCACACTCAAAGATAATGGTACAAACATCCTTTGTTCTTACTTAAGTCTTTATGGTACCAATTATCTAGGCAATAACAATATTGAAATAACCCCTTATTTCATTATTTCTGGAAATAGCATACAGAATACCTTAAATCGTACTTCACTTCAGTGTTGTTTTGCTGGTCATTCGGGATCATTGATGCCAGCACTATTAAGTGTTGAGAATTAAATACTGCTCATTGATTACCGATCAAGCTGGCGCTAGGGATGTGAGGGATATTGCACTTATTAATTATCCCTCATGTACAGACTCAATCAAACCCATTTTGCATTTTTCATGTAAATTGTTGTGATTAATGTGCCAGGGGGATCACATTGTATCCAGATATCTATTCTTCACAACGACAGGTGTCATGTGTTGTGTGGCAGCTGTAAAAGTTGCCCCGTACCTCACTTCAGTGTTGTTTTATTTTTCTGGTCTTTCGTGATCATTGATGTCAGCACTATTAAGTATCAAGTTTATTAAGTATTAAATATCTAATTTAATGTGCTTAAATGGCAATGAAACAAGACTTCAGTAAAATAAAAAGTTTGCTTGAAGTGTAAGATGTAGATTAGTAATGAATCTGATCTGGCGTGGTAAGTTTTTTTATGTAATTTAGAAATCCAATATATAATAGGAAGTTTGAGTTACTTTTCATTAATTTTGACTTTAGAATTGGAAATATTAGTGATATGATTGTTCACAATGTCTTTTTCGGAGGCAGGGGTTTTAGAATTCACATGAGTACTATAAAGTTCGTTACGCAAAACGTTAATATAACGGATACGTCATGTAATAATAATATTATTAGCCGTCTTGTCTGCTGGCACCAAAGCAAATTTGGAATAAAAGCAAGAATATCCTCTTTAAGAATCATAAAGTAAGTCTTGTTTTAGGTGACAGAAGATGTTCATTTTCACAATATAAATTAATACATGAAACAATAATTTTAAAGACATTACGTTTCCATGTAACTAGGGCATTACTATCCGCATTTTCATGGCGACACCGTTTGATCGAAAAATCCTCATTAGATTCAGCAATCTGACCACGACAAGCATTAAAATCAATCTCAGAAGGATTTTTTTATTTAGGTCCTTTTCATGATAAAATTACGAATTCTTTTGTCTGCAATTATTTCAAAATTACCATTAATTATATTGCCAAAATCTGAATTACAGAATTTAGAAGCGTTGCGGTATTTAGTTGTTGGAGTATAAGACTGAATATCTAAGTCAGAGGCCATTTTGTTATAATTAAATATAGAATTTCAAACATATATTTTTCTTAAAATTGTTGAACTTACCCTATTGTTTTGAAATAAAATCCAAGTTCTTTTTTTCTCTTCTCGATAAGAATCTCAAATGATTTGTTAGGTCTCAGTATAAATTTTGCTACCTGTCCAGCCCACCAAAGAGACGGATTCGAATGAAAATGATTGATTATGTGTGATATATATGAGGGTAGCGTTCTATGTAGGTCAAAGTAGTTTGTTTGAAAATTCGCCTTTATTACTTGAATATCTTCTGTTCCAAATAAACCTATATAATTGTAAATAAACGCATTATTTGACGACCGCTTTCTTGCTTATATATTTCCACAATTTTGTATCATCGTATGTTGCTGAATATAATACATTTTCTGGAATATCTGATGTTAGTTGTATCAATTACTTGTACGCCACTTTTAATGCGTTAATTAGCTTAATGTTGTATTCATGTTTTATTTCACGAGATTTATATTATATTTGAAAAGAAAAAAAAACATTAAACAGCAAAAATAAAATGTCCTACTGTTAACTTCGACAGGTAATTCCTTGTGAAAGAAGCATATTTTGCCCAAAGGTAATGTCAAATTACCCCATACTGCAATCGAGATATGTTCTCCGCCGGTCTTGATAATTACTGTCCGTCTTGTCATAAAACCCACCGTAAAACAAATTGTCAATAGATGGACTTGATGGCCGAACCCGTCTGAAAATATGTATTTGCTTACGCTTTTGATAAATATCTAAATATTTGAGAGGCGCCACGAAGACAGGACACTAACATAATGTTGTGCGTGTAAGCAAATAACATTTATACATCATATTATGTATTTAATATAATACCATAAGTAATGGTCCTTTCAAACGACGTCGACAAATGATTATCCCAACAACTCGTTTTAGAACAAAATATAACTTAATAACTTTTCTCCAAGCAGACAATATCAATATGTAATATTTGATAATTTATACGAAGTGTGACTAGATATCAGATGTTGTCATTGCTGCTCAGTAAAACGCTTCAATTAGTCGTTGCATAGCTGTTTGTAAAGTTAAAAGCAAATAATACAATTTTTTATTTATATGGATAATCACAGATTCAATCAGGTTGATGTCGATCGCAAACATAATGAGGTTTTTATTTGTAAGAAAAATGTAACAAGTTGTGTTTAGATTCTTAGATTATCATAATTACAATCGTGTTTTAATCTTTCAAAAGAAACACAGGTATTTCTTTTATTTCTTCGTTTTTAATTTTTATTGATTATTCTTTAAACGTTCTCAGAATGAATACACTAGACAGTCACAGGTATAAAACAATTCTCCTTAAAAGAAATAAAATTGTGGTTTCCAAATTTGACCCACGTGAGTCAGGTTAAAGTGTTAAGACTTCAGAAAAAGTGTCAAAGTGAACACTTGAAACGTTAAAGAACATGTCAAATTAATGATTCAGACTTTTTCAATCATACAATATATGTAATTGTAACTTCCAGGGTTTGTAAAAGTCACAAGAAAAGTTAGTTACTGGGAGATTCTGTCGGCGTTTAAAATTTGTTCAACTTTTATAGATATATTTACGCTTCAAACACAAAATATATATAATTAACACAGACATTCATGCTATGACTATGACTTTAAAAAATGTCATTTAAGCATAAAGTGAGTATATTAGATACCTTAAATAGTATTGTTATTCATTATCACGAGTATCAATTACAAAATATGTTATCATTTTCAAAATAGTTTTGCACCAGTAGAAATACGCTTGCGGAGAAGCATGACACCAATGAAAGAACATATCCCGTTGTCTTTCAAATCATACCCATGCAATATGTTTAAGACACATCTGCAAGAATCAGAATGCTGATTTCCGATATAAAAAAATAGAAAAACACAAAAAAACTATATTGCAATGATAAAGATATCTTTTAACGAAACGAATTTTGTCATTTATAACATATTAATTATTTGTTTCTGTTTCTTCCGGTATTTACTGCTAGCAATTTGATGAAATCAAATTTCTACAGGTTTGCTGTGAATAATTTTTGTATATACGATAAAAATCAGACAACATTTTGAAAACCTAATTTATTAAATAATAATCTAGTTTCAGTAGAGTATTAATACTTATGAAGGAAAACGTCATCCTGCTTGTTAGCTTGAGTGACAAGTTCAAAACACAACAGAGAGGTAGGGACTTGGGCGGGATGATTATTTGTTCCTCAATTTGTTCAACAACCGAAATATTTTTTTCCTGTAAACTTCGCAGTGGTTTCTGATTAGTAACCAAAATCTTTGATTCATTTATAAAGAGTCTCTCACGACTTTCTGATCAAAGATTGTGGTCGAAAAAAGTGTACATCCCCTTTTTTAACTTCTGATAATCTTACAAAAGACAAAATGGATAATTGGTCTATAGATGTGTTATTTGAAGTAGCATATTTGATTATATGATCGAAGTGCAATATGATTTTGTATGATATTAAAAAAAATGATACAATAACAGTTGATTTACTTTCTCTATTAATGTATATTATTTATGTATAACATAAAAAGTGTCCATTTAAAATAGTTTTTTGCAATAGGATTAAAAGTATTTTATACAAAGGGCTGTAATAAAATTATTAAATCAATTTGGCAAATTGTGATGTAACAATACAGAGGGTGCGTGTTACCAAAACATTTTTCCAAAAAAATTCCGGTTGCGTTTACAAGATGCCTACCTTCTTGGCAACTCAAATGATAATGACGTAGTTTTATATAATATTCTAGAAAAGTAGTTACACACGTCTTTGTTCGCTTATTTTAATAAAAAAAACAACATTAATGTAATCTCCTTTTCATCGTAAATTGTTTTATTATGTGAACATTCGTGACTGAATATTTTCATAGATATATAAACACTAGTCAAACAAAACTGTGTACTGATTACAGTAATAAGGTTAATCTTAGAAATTATTTCATCTTGATCAGATTATCTATAAAAACAACTCTGACATTTGAGTGCGTTGCCATATATTTTTCCGGCTCATAGGGATCATTGATTCCAGCAAATTAACTGTGAAAGGTTACCTTACGCAATATAATCATCTTACGGGACGAAAGAAATGTTCAACTTTTACGTAATAGCTCTAAAACAGACTCAATAAAAACAAGTTTGCAAATTTTATATAATGTTGTTGTTTCAATTGCATCTGTTGGATCACTCCTTTTATAGAATTTCTTAAAATATAGACTTTAAAAAAAAAGTTAATTGTCACGTTTCTGGGCGTCATTTCGTGGAGAAATGAGTAAAATATACATCATGTTTATGAAAATCAACAACTACATACTGATAGAATAAATGCATAAATGTATTTGAAAATATCAACACGATTTATCAAAGAAAATAACTAAATAATTAGAACATATTAAACGAGAAATTTTACAAAACGTTTTTTTGTCCTTTCGTGATTATTGACATAGAGTTGACTATGAATCAAGGTTAAACGTGTATTGGATGATCTAGCTAAATTAGAATATTTAACGCTAGGAAAATCAAAGCGAACGAATTTATATTTTATCAAGATAAATTATGTTATCGAATCAGATGTACAAAGCGACACTATATGAACCGTGTAATTTCAAAACAAAGTCTTTAAAAACATCCAACCTAATTCAAACATAACAGACGTTAGATATAATTGTGAAATCTTAAGTAACACTTCTTTAACCCAATAAACAACATGTTTCTGTTTAAAAAGACCTGGAAGGCAAAGACAATTTGGTCTTTGTTTTTATTCTTGAAAATAACCCTAACCATAATTAGATATATATTGTTCATGTTTAAAACATTTAGTGTCATAACACTAATAGGTCCATGTTGTAACGATACGGAATCTTTTGTAAGCATATTCCCGACTACATTATTCCCGCATTGATGGCATAAAGAATACACATTCATGTTTCGAGCATTTGGGGTAAATAGTAATTTGTCCAGATGACTTTAAAGGCTATTTAAAGAATGTATTTTTTTTTTACATTAAATACAATTAAGTGGTATAACACACTTAGGCAAATGGTGTGTGAAGATACTGAATCTATTGTAAGAATATTCCGGACTACGCCTTTTTTACATTCATGGCATTGAGAACACACTAGGAATGAAGAGGTATTTGTGCAGAAGGCCTTAAATGGTATTTGTATAATGTATCTTTTTATTTACACTTAAGAAAATATAAAGGTATTAAAATTCCGAAAACCTTCTTTAACTAATATTGTATGGATAAAAATGTGTTAATCATTTTGGGATAATTTTATGCAAGGACTGGTAAAGACAATAAGGATTTGAATCTAAAACGTTAAGACAAGCAATACAAATCCAAATTTAGTACAAGTTAGATATTGAAAAAAATAGTGATGATCACAAAAAACAATTACACATTCTGATTGACGCCCTTGGTTTAAAAACAAATACAATAGTTGCCATATCTAATAATCATAATATTGTACGAAACATTCAACTGTATTTAAAATGTATCAACCAAAGTTTTATGATGCGGCAACTTATAGGAAGAAAATATTTCCGAGAGTTTTACGTGGAAATAAATATAACGATCTTCAAAGATATTAAAGTGCTCGTAATGAAATAACAATTCTTTGAAACAGATGACTACATACTATGGACTTGAATATGCGTATTGTTTAGATAAACAAAAACATCTGAAAATCATTCTCTGTAAATGTAGTCAGTATCAGACTGTACATATTTCATTCACGCTACAGGAACGCAAATCGTATTTTGAAGAATTATTTGCCAATAAACAGTATCCACAAAAGAAATTGAACACAATATAGAGAAGACGGAATTCATATAGAACGTCTGAAACGAAAATTGAAAATGCAGATTCTGTATTTATCTATTTTAGAATGAGTTTGAATGAGCCGGTTCCTTGACAGTACAGTAGAGTCTGTTCATGGACTGTAGAGTAAAGTGCAAGTTACTGTTCACACCCTTAGAATGAAAGAATCTAAAATGTTCTTTACTCAATATACCAAATTATTTATATAAAAAAAGAAAAATAGTATAGATAAATGTGAAAATATCACAAAAAGGGAAAAAGCAGGGGCTAACGATTGAACCATCTCATATTTATTATCATTGAAATTGATTCGATAAAACTAACCGTACCGATTATTTAATTAACTGTATCATTTTTATGAAACCATGCTACTATTGTAACACAGTATAAGAAAAAGGATTGAAATATCCTTGGTAAATATTAAACAATAAATCAGTTGCTGAAATCTGGATTTAGGGATGGCTATTTAACTATTGATTATGCTTTCATACATCAGTCTATCATTTCTAAACATCTTAAGACCAAGAAATGTTTTGATTTCATTGACTGTGTGTTCTTATAATGTACTATCAGTTTATCAGAACTTTTCAGCTAACCAAACTGCCCTACCGGACGTAAATAAAAAAAATGTTAAAGATTTCTTCCGTCATCATAATTAATGAATAATGACCTAGATAAACACCAGAACGTTCTACTGTGTATGGAAAGAAACTATCTGCGTATATAAGAAGTGAATTGTTCTTGCTTGCTTATGGCCGCTATAGTAGGGAAACAAACATAAATAGATGTGCTAAAGAATTTTTGTGTTGATATTAGTGTTAAGTTAAATAAAGGACTAAAATAATTGTGACAAAATGTCCTGCCATGGTAACTATTTTTTTTTATTTTTGCCCTGGCAATCGTTTTTTTTAATAAATTTAACGTATTGAATTTTATTTTAACACGTCTATAAGGGGCAACTGCTTTTTTAAAATTAGAATATTGCATTTTTGTTATTGTGACAAGCCAAATTTATTTTTTAATATCAAGTTTTACAATTATTCATACCCTTTCTAATTTTCGGATTTTTGGAATTCTGAATTGAAAAGCTCCGGAACTCAGAGGTATAAAAAAATAGAAAATAGAAGGAGAACCTAAATATTGTTCAGATTTTCATTTTTCTTGATTTTAGATTTCCGAATTCGGAAGTTACACTGACAAAATACAAAAAAAAAGAATATAGAAATACTCTTACTTGATGGAATTTCACATAATACGCTTTTTGTGGTGTTGCAATCATTTGGATTCTAAAGACAGAAATATCTCTAATTTTATATACAATGCACAATATAACAACAAGACCAACAACAAAGAACTATTTTATACTAGAAAACTTTTACAACGAAAGCTGATTTTCTTTTGTTTTGTTTTGTTTATTGAATATTAATTTACCTTATGTTTAAGCAGAACGACCAATAAACATAAACAGAACACATGTTTTTTGTTTTTTATCCTTTACTTTCCAGAAATTATTATGCTACGAAATGATTGGCCATTTCTAAAACGTTAACATGACAAGCACAAAATGAGCCATAAAAATCATATCGTTGAAGAAAAAAAATAGTTTGAAAGTTTGGAAAAGAAATCAATGTTAAAAGGACAACAATCATTGTTTTATCTTTACTATTGATTAAAAAAATTAATCCAAGAGCATGTCTTTGATACTCATCTATAGAGAATAATAAAGTAAAATGGTATAAAGTTTTAATGACCTTAGAAAAATCTACTAACTTAAAATCATATTTTTAAGTCAGTAAATGCATATATTTGATTGTGTAAACTCATCTGAATAAACATGTCTTGTAATGATTAAACATAAATTGAACAAAAGTTAAATAGATAACTATTAAAGACTTAATATTTCAATTCTAATGCATGTGATAATAAAATTTAGCATAGCATTTTAAGTATTAACAAAACATGTTACAGGTAAAAAAGTCTGGATCTGCATTAAACAAATGTATAGATACCTGTAAAGTATCAAACGTTTCTTGCACTATTTTGGCCGCTTGCTGGTAGTCGTCAATAGTAGGATTTAATGATGAATTGCTAATTGTTTCATTAACACTGAAATATTTAACAATTATAGATGCATTAATAATACACCACAAAGCGATTGATACATTTATAACAAATAAACAACGTCAATAGTTGTTATGTTAAATGATGAAAAATATGATTATTTGTTCTCGAGCGCTACACAATTAAATTAAAATAATGCAATTAGATTTAAACATTGCAAATGTTCGTCTACAAGCTTGAGTACGTAATTGGCAAATATTTATACAAAAGTTGATTATGAAATGTTGCTCAACACAAAATAAACACAGACCTGGAGGTTTGTTTCAAAAAGATAAGCTGAAGTAATACCAAAAAGTAATGATTAAAAAATGAACAAAATATGACATCTGTTACATAGTATTTACACCAATTTGTCACAATCAAGTATTTATCTACAAAACTACTTAATTGGTAGTGATTTTGCTGAAACTGATAATCAATGGTTCTTGTCATAGATTTTACATGTTCCACATAATGAAAGGTTAGAAACTATCGTTGAATGGCCTTAAATTTATCGAGAGTTATGTCGGTTGCGGACAAGGTGTTCAATTTCTTTGCTTTTATGAAAACTCAAGGAAATGTCGTCAGATTAAAAATATATTTTGGTTCTGTACATTACGGTTTGGCTGGTGGAATGTCTTAACGAATCCTAAATACTGTGCATCATCAGGGAATTTGGTCTTCGGATAAATGTTGTCGGAAGACCTTGAGCTTGACCCACAATGTGTTCCTAAAAGTACCGACGAGGATTTCTCCGTTGGCTTAAAAATTCCTAGGGATTAACTTTGGTTTTAGAATTTTGGAACATTCATCCAGTTCTCTTGATCTTTTCTGTTGGAGGGAGTGATGGTTGTTCGTTTAAAAGTGTTCAAAGAGGATCATAATGATTAAATCGAAATTAACACCGACAGCTCTTAGGTTGGTTGCGAAGAAGGTGCAGACAAATTTGAAAATTATTTAACATCTCCTCTCAGACGACCTGAAAGATCATCTCTATTCATTGCTTGAGCAAATGCTATTGATCTGACACTATCATACAGTTCACAGCATAGGGATTATCTATTTGTATGTTTATCATTCTCCATGCGATTATCGTTAAAAATCAAAAGTTAAATAATGACATAATGAAACATTTCCTTTTACTGATTCATGACATTTTAAAACTAAGTCAGTCAAATTATGTTGGACCCAAAGCGACTCAAGAATGCAAATAAATGGTTAAGTAGATGATTTGGCTGAATAATTAGTAAATCTTCAGTGAACTTTCGTCACTAAATAATGATTCAAACCCTCAATAAATAAACCGATTTCGTCAGATTGGAAATTGAATTTGAACAAAGCTGTACTTAATTACGTTCATGATATCAGCCAGGGTTTTGGTAAATCACCAACTCTTTTTCTAAACCGTCAGGATTAAGTTGTTCTTGTTAGGTGTAGAAATGCATACATTCGAGTTGAACAATCTCACCTTTTAACAGGAGACGATTCTCTATTTTGTTTAGTTCGTAAATAAATATTTTATTGTAAAACATTTCCTTCACTTAGAGAACGTTTTGCCTAAGTTCAATAAAAAAATCCTTGGCCGATTTTTTCAAGAAAGTAAATAAACTTGTAATCTAAGATTTATCCTACTCACTTTTACCAACTTATTATTTGCCTACATATGGCATTGTTCGGAACGGTATAACCGGTTATGTGTCAGAGTGGTCGTTAAGCCGGAATGAACAATTGACAAATAAATAAATTCACATGGTAATTCAACTGTTGAATATGATACAAATGGGATTTATGCAAACAGTTATTGTACTTTTAGGCAAGTGTAGGGCTAATATGAAAAAATATTGTTTTCAAGATACGTATCACATTCTTACAGACAACTTTTTTGTTAGTTTATGACTCATTAAAGCATAAACATCTACTCCTCAGCACGACGGTAGAGTTGAAGAAATTGTATAGCCATTCTAATTTGGCAGACTTTTAAAAACTTTTAATTTTATTTTGAATATCATCATGCCCTTAGTTAATTAAAAGATTATGATATTTTCGGACCTTCTGACGACACCCCATCAATAACTTGTTAAAATTAAATGGACTGCTGGATCTCAATATACAAATATGCTTAAACGACACGTCTTCTCCAAGGATGCTGCGGATATATATTAAACTTTAAGGCTATACACTGTTAAAGCGTAAAGGATGTTCAAAGTTGGTAGGGAAAAAATAGGAATAATTCAAACAGGTATTTAAGTGAGACCTTTTTGAAAGATTAAGTACGATGCCCGAATCTTGCGTTATTATTGCGTTCGGTGGTCATTTTTAGTATTATTACTGCCCATAGTGCTAATACACATTAGAATGGTTTGCTGTGAGGTTCGAGCCAATCCGTCCAGTAGTGCCTAATAGAACCTTGGTTGGTTAGACTGATCGGGCAAATATTACAGTCTGCAGCATGTTCCAGGCATGTTCAATTTGATAAAGGTCTGGTGACCTTTAGAAACAGTCCATTCTCATTTTAGATGCAAGAATTCGTTGATCATCCGTGCCAATTATTGAACGGTACTAGTGTCATGTCATTCAAAATCCACCTGACGTGAGCACGTGCCCGTTGTATACATGCCTCGATGTCGCTTTGCTTCAACGGAAAGCACTTTATTGTCGTCTGGCCCTCATGCCAGCTCAGTGGAGATAGTTTTTGATTGTTTGATCAGACACCCCTACGCCAGTGGTATTATGCAAGTCAGTTTGCAAGCGAGTAACCGTAACAAAGCACTGACAAATCGCTTGAAAAACGTTTTTCATTTCACGTTGTCACCCTCTCACGACCAACACTACCGTGATAATGCCTGGCATTCTGTGCGTTAGAAGACTTTCCCACATTCTATCAACAGTGCTCTTGGACTTTTTAAGTTCTCCTGTTGCTTCTTATCAAATTTGCAACCAGAACTGAATTGAAAAGTCCTGAAAACATGTCCTTCACAGTTGCTTTGAGGAGTTTTGTTCAGTAGGAGAGCTTTTAAAATCAACCTGCTTGTGTGATGAATCTTTGTCTGGCGTCAGTTGGTAACATTGTATTTACATTCATATTAAGATCGACATCTATAATATATTGACATGTTCAGATGCAACATTTAGTTTTAAAATTAACAGATTTTGGCTGATTTTGGAGTTACTGTCCATTTTCGTTAAGAGTCCGTTGAGCTACATTGTATATATAGTCCATCATGGATTGAATTCTTTTTTATCATCTATGTTTCATGAGCATTCATATTATTATATCAGTCATAAAAATTGAAATCAGTTTGAATTCAATTTACTCTCAAACCTTGATTTCCTTTTCTTTACAATGTGTATTATTGATTAATCTCGATGTATTGTTCAATTAAACACTTCAGAGCACCTTTCATACTTTCGTTGCTTTAAAAATCATGGGTTTATGCGAATTGCAACCCCACGGGGTGACAAAAAACTCATTTCTATCTACAAGACACTCATTAATTTTATGTCAGCATGATAATTTGAAGAGTATTCTTATAAACCAACCCTTCTAAGATATCTAAAAAATAATTTGTCAAAATTCATTTACATGATTTGTCCAGAACGCTGTTTTTTCGAAGCATTGTCTTTTTCCTTGAAATGTTGAAGTTGTAAATTGTAACATATTGTGCCGAATGACAGTACTGTTATCATTATTGTTCCCGTGACGATCCTTTGATATAAAAGTAAATCATAAACTATAAATATAAGGATTTACTATTTAACTATCTATCTTTTAAATAATATTTAACTATCTTTAGTATAGATGAAAATAAAGTTTTATAATGATCAATACAATTTCTTCCTTTCGTCAACATTTGCAGGTATTTAAATTGCGAATCGTAATGCATTACCCCACTCAATAAACTCGTCATTACTCATGTGTTTAAAAAATGAAAATGTTTTTGCATAACAAACATTTTTTCTCAAACCTTGTATTGTGAACATTTATATTTTTCAGCATTGTCTCTCAAATAACGTTGTTCTCGTGCTTTAATATTTGTATTTGTATGATTTTTTTGTAAATATTTATAGATAGTTACTTTTCAACATTTTCTATTTAAAAGAAATCTCAAGACCCCCAGAGCAAGACTAATTTTAATCTATGTCTATACAGATAACATAATTGTTATAAACATTTGAAAAATAAATTCATGATAAATATCTCAGCAAGTTCTAGCAAGTTTGTTTCATGATAAGAGATTTTTCAGTTTATTCGTTTATGTAAAACCTCATGAAACCAATGTGTGATCAAACTAATTTTGAAAGAGGTGTTGTAGGGAATGTTTCATTCCTAACCCTTTCAAAAGCCTTTGCAAGTTCAGAAAAGCATCATTTTAAGTTGATAAAATATGTATTTAAGGAAAACAAATGACACTCCATGCATCATAAACTTTAACTATTAAGGTTATTTTTTATCAAACCTTTTTGATTAAAATTTAAAGCTCTAGCCTAACAGTATTGTCAGGACAAGCTTTTGAATATTCAAACATTTTTGTCTGATTGCAATGGTATAAAGCGTATGTGCATCTAATGAATTGCTCTTTGATCAGTCTTCGAAAGTTTTGATATGATTTATATTGCGGTTACAAAGTAAAATATTGTTATAAAAATTATTGACAAATGGACGATGGACGATGGGTCATCACAATAGCCATTCAAGAGCAGGTTTGCTCTTGTCATCCAGAAGCAGGTTTTAACCTATGTGTTTTTCTTTAATTTTGCTACAATGCATTTTACTTTAATTTATGACATTAACTTAATTTAAGATAATAACATCAGAGACATAGATAATAATAATGTACTGCATCTTACCTTTTGTTTGTTACAAGGACGTGTAACATTTTAGAATCAAGCCGTCTGATAATCCTTAATAATCCCAGGTACATGGCTTAAAATGTGTATATGTAGCTTCTTCAATAAAAGGCAATTTCTCTGATCACTAATTTATTTTACACTTTATCTAAATGTTTCAATACATGATATTATGCTGCTTTTTTAGATTGTGTTTTAACAATTTAACAATGACCTCGTACATGCGCACTCGTGATGAACATGTGTATCCTGAAAGAAAATTTATGAAAAAAAAATATGTAACTGACTGAAATTTTTTTCAGAAACTGAAGGAGACCTATTTGGATTTTCAATTGTCACCGAATATATATGTTGACTGCCAAACTTTGAACGGTCGCTCACATCTTTTTAATTTATCAAAGGTGATATTTACCTCATAAAGTTCTATCAGTATCCTATTATTATTTGGTATTTTGAATTTTGATTCATCTCATAAGTATACTTTAACGTATGCCCATGTAGTCAAAAGTGGTTCCCTATCATATGATGGCATCAAATGTACTAATTATACATGCATATATGATACATGAAAACATATATTTCTGTGAGAAATGAAGATGTGCCTTTGCAGCTTAAACATCTTACATGAGGTTTGTTAATCTGATTTCTTGTAATGATTAACAAATATGTTTTCTCAAGTCAAATTTAGCCAAGTCGTAGGACCAAGTAGTACAATTATTAACCATTTGGGAACTGATATGTTTGTTTCACTGAAAGAAATGTATGAATATACGGAAGTGTACGGAGTTCCGTTTATCATTAACATACGGGAAGTAAGATTTGGAAATTTGAATACGGAGATGTACGGGACGGTCTATAATGGAAATCCGTATATGACTTATATACGGTGATACATACACACGAAATATACGGGGATTTTTGTACTAAGTCTGTATTTTACTAAAATACGGAATTTTAATGACAAGTCCGTATATTTCTAAAATACGAAAATCGGTATTCTTGCAAATACGAATTCTGTTAATAGAAATAGAGAATTAAGATTAAGATTTACGTCTGCTTTGCCCATTTTCTTTTGAAGTAAATCTTACATTTGTCAGAATTTTTCAGAATGACATCAAATAGTATATTAAAGCTTAAGCTCAATGAATATTTGCTGAATTTATTAACATGTCATCTGTATATTTTCTCCAATCAGTCGTGTTTCATCATAATTAGACGACTTGCACATTGTTTAGGACTTTAAAGTTTTATCAGGAGAACATGGCAATACTATGCAAACTAAACATATGTACCATGGATATTACAAGATATATATTGACAGATCTCTTGTTTTTTATAGTAATGTTCTATTTTAACAATTAAGATTGGTACAATTTATCAAAGAGTCAAACTAAGAACGTAATAGAACCTGGGGCATCGCCACAATAAAATCTCAGACAGAACAGAACTTATTTTACAAAAGAACATATAGTGCAAAAAATAATTTTGTATATAATTTTGCAGACTCTTCAAACATAAAGACAGGAATAAGAAAAAACACTCTGTTTAGGAGATAAAAAAATTATTTATTCAGTTATTTATTTATCTATTTTTATTTATTTATTTATTTGTCTATTTATACATTTATCTTTTTTATTTACCTCTAATTGCTGTTGTTAGTGTTTGGTAATATATGCACCTTTCTGTTCGCTTCTAAAGCAAGTTTGATTAAATTAAGATAATTACCAATAATAACCAAGCTCCTGGGTTCTTTTTGGCTGGACCTGACGTGCTGAAATACGGATCTGTAGTTCATTCCATACATGCTCGATGTAATTAAGTGATCGGACCGCCCAGTCTAAGCGAGTAGTACTATGTCTTTCCAAGTACTCATGAACGACATTGGATGTATTGTCAATCAATATGAACCCATTACCAAATGCACCAGAATACAACCTCACCTGAGTGTTGAGGATCTCATCTCGATACCACTTTGCAGTCAATGTGTATATTTTTGGTTTAATTATGTGTTTATCAGATCTAAAAATGTTTATTTACAAATATTTGTAAAATTTATATAACACAGTATCACATCTGTCACGGGGCTTTATCTCTGTAGATTAAATAATTTGACAGTTTGTAAGTATAACACTAGAACTCCGCGAGTCGGATGTGTCGCCTTTTGAACAATAAAGTTGAGAAGAAATGGCCAGAATAAAAATGAATTATGAAAATTAACGAAGGGCAATAACTCAAAAAATAAGAAGTGAAGAGCAGCAGTTTCTGTGCACTGCACTTCTTTTCAATAAGATCTATCATCTTATGAAGTCCATAGCTTTTATAATTTATGAGAAATGGCCTGGATAAAAAGGTATGAAAATAAAATTAAGTGTAATAACTCAAAAATACAAATTCTCGTACACTGCACTTTTTCTTAATGAGATCTATCATCCTATGAAGTTTAAAGACCATAGTTTTTATACTTTAGGATAAATGGCCTGGACAAAAATAAAGTATGAAAATTAACAAAGAGCAATAACTCAAAAATAAGAAATGCAGAGTACCAGTCTTGCGCTGCAATTCATCTTGATGAGATCTATCATCCTATGAAGTTTCATGTCCATAGCTTTGATACTTTAGGAGAAATGGTCTAGACAAAAAAAAAGTATGAAAATAAACAAAGGGCATATCTCAAAAAATAAGAAATGCAAAGTACTGGTTCTTGTGCACTGCACTTTTTCTTAATAAGATCTTTCATCCTATGAAGTTTCATGTCCATAGCTTTTTTACATTAGGAGAAATGGCCTGGACAAAAATAAAGTATGATAATTAACAAAGGACAATAACTCAAAAAATAAAAGCTGCAGAGTACCGGTTGTTGTGCATTGCACTTTTTCTTAATGAGATCTTTCATCCTATGAAGTTTCAAGTCCATAGCTTTAATATTTAGGAGAAATGGTCCGGACAAAATAAAGTATAAAAATTAACAAATGGCAATAACTCAAAAATTAAGAAGTGCAGTGTATTGGTTCTTGTGAACTGCACCTAGGGTCATTATAAGAAGCATGTATACCAAATTTGAAGTCAATCCGACTGATAATTACTGACTTTTGCGTTCGTTGAACGCCGCCTTTCCTTGTTGATCTTGTTTATCATATTTTATGCTCCGGATAAGCTTAAGGGGATGCCGACGACGACGCCGACACCCCCGACAAAAGTAACCTCTTTATGTCGCCTTTTTCGATGCGACGCAAAAAAATATACGAAAACCTTCAAAGAGCAATTCAATTGGAAAGGGTAATTTTTTAAAATTGTGGATACATCATGCCTATGACACATATAACCTTCCATGAAGGCAAATAAAAACAACAAAGAAAATAAAAAAATAAAAAAACAAACGCACACCAAGTGAAAAATTAGACATTTAAACTACGAAGGTGACAGTGCATTTTAACCTCATGTTTATAGTTATATAAAGGGATTAATCAGTGTTTGTTTGAGACATGACCGTGTTCATATAGCTTGATTGGTAGACTGATTGGATTATCAGGAATGATTTCAATAATCGCCTTGAATCAGAGGTGGAAATCAACGTGCAATCAAGCTGAAACTTCATCACATCCATATTATTATATAGTACTTACTAGCTGAAAAGGGTTCATTTTTATAAGTATTGATTTTTAATTCAGGAATTTAAAGGACAGGTATCTCAGAATATGGTCTTGTATTTCTATTTATAAGTTCGATTTGAAATTGTTCAAATATTTTTTCATTTCATTTTGTTATTCTAAATAATTTGATAAGCAAAATGATTGTAATAATTTATATCCTCAAATATTTAAATCTATCATTGTTTAATGCTTAAAAATCGATTAAAGACTCCCCTTTGTATAAACATTTAAAAATTCTTTGAGCACATGCTGTTATATTTTACTAAATTAAACCAAACTACGTTTAAATGCATCAACAAATCTGAAAAACAACAATTGTTTCCTTTTCTTTATTTTCAGCATTATACAATCAGATTCATCAAAAATTAAAAAGTATATTTCAGACTGCTTTTATTTACATTACCTCAAAGTTTTTAAATAGGTATCTGAGTTACGTAAAGTACAGGGAATTACTTGTAGAAGTTATTGATCATATAAAAACAAAATCGACCACCCCCGAAAAAAGACCAGGCCCCGTGTTCACAAAGATTAAAGGATAAGGATCAAGATCAGGATCACATTTGATAAGCAAAATGCTTGTTATAATTTATATCCTCAAATATGTACCGTTTAATCCTCATAGATTAAATATTCAATATGAACTTGATAAAACTGGACTTGAAAAAGCATGTTTATGAAATTTAAGATTAAATTAATTGATATTTTTACAAAATATTGGCATTTTACAGTTGATCTAAATTTTGACCTTGATCCTAAAATGGATCCATATTTTGATCCGATTATTTTTGTACTTGTTTTTTTATTTGTTGATTTTATCCCAGAATAGGTTGGTGTCTTTGCATATAAGCATTTTTTATATTTCAAATATGTACCGTTTAATTATAGCATAATACGATTAGTTTTAGTTTATAAAACAATCAAAATAAAATCAGGATCATCTGATCCTGATGCTGATTTTTCTTTGTGAACACAGACTTAGGGTTTTAAGAAGGTGAAAATGTTGTTGTATCACATCAAATATGTATTTTTAGTATTTTACGTACAAAAAAATGTTTTTGTCAAAATATAACGAAGACTTTCGTACAGGTTATGAAATATTTTCAATGTCCTCTTTATGTTTAAGTTTAATTATGATTTAATTATGATTTTTAAGGCAGTGTAATAGTTTTGTTTGAGATCCATAAATATTTTTATGCGATGAATGAAGCCGTGGCCTCTTTACTGCAATTGTGATGAAACTGAGCATGGAAGCAAGTTATATATGTGTGAGTTCACGTATGCATGAATCAAAGGAAAATAATGTTGTATTTGTAAACATAATAAGACAAAAGAATCGCGTACGAACTCTCTGTAAAGATACGATGGTCTTGAAATCAAGGATGTGTCGTGTAACATCTAAGGAGTTACCAAGTGTCAGATATTCCCGTTCGTGCTGACAACCAATGTTTGATTCTTTCTCGTGTATATCCTTTTAGCATTAATGTTTACTAGGCTTAATGATGCCATATTTTCATGTAATGACGCGAAATAAAACATTTATAAGCATTTTATAGGGCATAGAAAATGCTAGAAGATCATATGAATATACAAGAATCAAATACAAAAATATTAG